ATAATATTTGATAACCTCTAATAAATAAAACTGTAGAGACTTTGTTTGTTTGATTGAACGTGCTAATCTCAGGAACTACTAGTTTGAATCGAACAATACTTTAGTGTAGGACAGCTCATTTATCAAGGAATGCTATAGGCTATATAACATCACACTATCACCAATAGGAGCAGAGCTGCATGCGTGCATGTTGCAAATACCACAGATAATATAATCAAATACGGAGAATACATACGCAGATGTTGTTATATTGTGTTTAAAATATAAGGGTGCCATAATGTCAGGTCTATTTTTTTTTTAATTTTATGGCACAGGGATTCCCTTGAAAAGATGACTGTATTTATCATTTCTGGTTTTTCAACAATAATGGGAATATACAAAAATAATTTAATTTATTATACCACAATAAATGCGTATATATTTATTGTGTATTTTCTTTAAATAATTTTATCCGTTTTCGATTATTAATGACGTTTATAAATAAATACTTATTTTTATTCAACAGGGAAAACCATTGATGACATAAATGTAATTAATCATTATATTGCTTACAGTTGTGGAAACAAAGTCAATAGCGGTATATGAAGCACTCTCCCATACTTACAGATTCGAGTCCCGTATGATACAAACTTTTTTGTTACTGAGTATAACTTTTATATTTTTATTTACATGTATGTGTATTATAAAAATAATATTAATATTATGTGAAATCTGTTTGTTTATTACCATTTCATGACTAAACGAAGATAGATTGCACGAGGCTTATTACATCAAAAAAGTAGCGTCTTTGGTTTGGGAACAGATGGCACTTTGTACTAAGTCTAGGATTTTTACTATCTGGTCCAGGAGGAATCTTGCAACAAACATTTTAAAGCGGACGTAATCTTGCAATAAATATATCATATAAGTTATAAAATTACTTTAGAATTTGATAATAAAAGTTTTAAAAGAAAAATGTTAATTTATTATTAAATTAAATATCATTATTATAAAATTTGATTAACAAAAACATACACTTTGTATATTATTTTTTATTCCTCAATATATTAATCCTCCACAGGTGTAGCGCTAACGTGTAGGCTAGTGCATCATCTCATATTAATGTAAACAAAAAAATGAGTCTATCTACCCCGCTTTAAATAGTAGTCGTAAAGATACGTTGTGTTAGTATATAAAATTTTATCCATATCGTTTAAAATATCAACTTAACAGTACGAGTATAAACAACCGTGGAGTATAAGACTTGACATCAATCAGTCGATTGATCAAAGAGTACCCATAAAAATAAAAAATGCGGTCAAAATTTTATATCCCGTGTGTGGTTTCAAGATCAAGGAGATATATGCCATGCTTTTTATGGAATATTCTGCTTTCACCGAAATATATTCTGGACCAATAAATTCAAAATTCTGATTCAATGAATTCAAAATTTTAACGAGCCTAAAAGTCTCCGAACAAAGGGTCTGTCTACATATCTCGTATGTTACTGTAACCAAGCAGCTTGCTTTTAGTTTGAAGGATGAGATATGCTGCAAAAGGCTAAAGGATATGGAATTATAAATACATTTGTAAATATTTACATTTCATTTATTAACACACAAAACAAAACAGTAACAACAAGCCGCAAATTTATTTAGCAATTTGTCTGTAGCAAATTCGTTTGCTTATTCAGCTATTGGTTGTTTATCTATACGCTACACATATAAATAAAATTAGAGTGTCTGTTTGTAATATTGAAATAACCTTTTTTTACTACATGCATATGAATATAAATACGGTACATACATCAAAATAACATTTTTTACAATTTTTGTCTGTCTGTCTGTTTGTTGCGGCTATTCTCTGAAATGGCTGGACCGATTTTAACGGGACTTTTTTTGACAGGTAGCTGATGTAATAAGGAGTAACTTAGGCTACTTTTATTTTAGAAAAATAAAGTTAAATACCACGCGGACGAAGTCGCGGAAACAGCTAGTGTTCCATATAAAAAATGGACTACGGATATCGCGTTATCATATGACACCCGTAATACCACACATCTTACAAAGGAAGGTGCGGCGGAAATAGATACCCCCCAGAGGAGAAAGGGGATTGTTAGTAATGTACCATGTCATATTGATCTCCACGTGGTTCCCCCTGGAAACCATCGTGACAAATCATGGTGAATTGCTAGGGTGGGCTAACTGACCTGACCATACTCATCTTATCATCCTCCACTGGTGCCTGGCCAGCGTAAACCGTCAGCGCACGCAGGTGCACCGTTCCATTACCATCTGGAAGAAAAAATGTACCACCCCACGCAGGCGACTTTTTAGCGTGTACCTCTGGTAGAAGAATGTTTAAAAACCATATTAAAAGAACCATATACTTTCCATCTGGTGTTAGATCATCTGATGATATGGTTGATTTTTCCTAGTACTAAAACTAAAAATAAATAGTTATTTATGTATAAACCGCACTATTTTGTTCATATGGTGCATTCCTCCGTCGTCATACGCCCACAACAGCGTGTCCGCTTTGGCACTATTTATTATGTACGCAGGTGAAACTGTTGTTTTTAACCATCTTAAAAAGGAGATGGTTGTTAATTCTGTCGTATTTTATTATATTTTGTTACCTCAGGACCTTACCTCTTGTCTTGTCGATAAACTTCATTTGATGCTACTGAATTAATTCAAATATCGAGTATTGTTTTGGTGATAACATATATTTATCTGTATTATACATTTAAAATATATTTAAACGTAAATTTATGATTGAAAATAAAAAGTAATTCCCCATTAGGTATTTAGATTTTATGAATTTCATATTAATTTTAATCAATTTGGGTAACGAAATGTAATTAGTTGCTAAAAATCAACAAACAGTATCACAAATTTTCACCATTACTACCCTACAACGCTTTCTAGTTCTACCCAAAGGTTAGCTGGTAGAGAATGCCATATGGAATTAAGCTCGCCTCTTGTACACTCTTTTAAAGTACAATAAAGAATAAAAAAAAATAATAAGGTACAAAATCCCCCTTCAATAGAGAATTAATAGATTTGATATTAATTTTAATCGATTTGGGTAATGAAACGGAATTAGGCGCTAAAAAGCAAACAAGGTAGGTAAGTATGATCTCAAGAAACTCAAACCACTACCCGTATCTTCCTTCTTACGCTCCAGTATTCAATACTTGGCCTCTCTTCAAATGTATCCGATAAATTTGGTCGATGCATATGCATATAAAATGCCCTCGACCCAGTGCATTTAATTTAAGTGTTTGTAAGTAAACTGAATCATTCTTATAAATACAACACAAGTCATCCTTTGAAATACTTAAGTAGGTTATTGAGGTGGATCATTATTTTAAATGAATATGATGATATGGCGTCAGCGCTAACAGTAATATTTACCGAAATGGAGTTAGTATAAAGTCGCCTGTGAAGGTACTAGGTCATGTCTATTTGTGCCAGCAACTTCTTTTGTAAGCTGTGCTTCAATTGAGAGCATTTAGTACATTGGTACAAGGTCAAAGTCCTGGTATCTTAATGCTCTAGAATGGCAAACTATGAGGGATAACACGAGCATCACATTACAAACGATGCTAGTATATAGGAGTTATAGTGTTTGATATTGAATTCGTTTCGAATTGTCCTAGCGCTATAAGACTTCAAAGAAACAACGAAAAGGTTAGTCGACATCACAGAAGACCGAAGAGCTGGCAGCTACCTTGGACAAAGAATTAGTCTAGCTATTCAAAGAGGGAACGCTGCCAGTATCTTCGGAACGTTGCCTAAAGGGACCCCTTTTAATAATATATTTTAGTCATCATATTATTAATTTTTTAAGTTTTTTAATTTTAGGTTCTTAGTTGTACAATTAGGTTATGTAAATACTAGTAATAAATATTGGTTAATACTGTTAGACACTACATATTATGTAAACTTCATTTCAATCTAAGAGAATAATGACAGGGATAATAAATATTACTCTGTTGAAAAAAATTCGTATAAACACATTATACTTTGTTGGATGACGACGATAATTTCGAGGACATCAACCTGATAGATTGCTTTTTATATAACTGCAATAGAAAACAAACTGCTGGTTTAAATCTATATCTAAAGAATAGTCAAGTAGCTGACGTCGCCTATATACATCAACATGTCATGCCTCTTATCCTGTAACTAGCTTTTGCCCGAGGCTTCGCTCTAGTTAATTTATCCCCTTAGGGGTGGAATTTATCAAAATCCTTTCTTAGCGGATGCCTACGTCATAACAAAGTGGTTTGGGCTGTGCGTTGATAGATCACTATATCAGTCACGTTTGAGTTATATATATTTAGATTTCCTGCTCAATTTCAAAATACAACATATAAAAAAGATGTTTGGAGACCAAAATAGGTGAGATTAAAAAAATTATAATCTATACATATATACTCTATACATATGTATAAATATAATCGGAGAGTCTGTTTGTAATATTAAAGTAATCGTTTACCTGCATATGAATATAAATACGGTACATACACCAATACACCAAAATAATATTTTTTACAATTTTTGTCTGTCTGTCTGTCTGGTTGTTCCGGCTAATCTCTGAAATGGCTGAACCGATTTTGACGACTTTTACTGATTTTTATTGGGAGATACCTGATGTAATAAGGAGTAATTTAGGCTACTTAAGCTTTATTTTCGAAAAATACATTTATTTTAGAACAATAAAGTTAAATTCCACGCGGACGAAGTCGCGAGTACAGCTAGTATATAACCCTTCAATTAAGTATGGCAGGCATAGGTAAAAGAGGTAAGCAAACGATAAAGCCTTCGTCTGGTCAATCAGTAGCGAGCGTTTATTTTAGGAGTTCTAGTTCTGCATTCTTTCCGTTTCGTTACTACAAATGTTCCGCTGTATATGACCACTGATATGACGTTGTTGTGTTATGTTATGTATATTGTTGTTCGTCATATTAAAATCAGGTGTTCGGCGTCGCTTGCACACAGTTTGTACGGAGTAAGCTATTGTAACAGTGTGTCCGCGGCAGCCATTACAGTTGGACGTTTATTCCTCGGAGACATTAATTTCGCGCGCGATTCGAAATTTAAATAAAATTTGTTTATTTTTTTTATTATAAAGAATATAAACTTCGAACTGCCAGTGTTATTCCTATGAACAATGGGCAGATGATTTATTTTATTTAAAAGACGTGTTTAAGTAATATTTTAATTGTTTTTTCGTGTATCGATTTGAAAGGCTTAACTAGTACTTAACTTTGGTTTCTTTGGCTGTGTTAGTTATAAGTGATGACAAACGTTATCATGGCTAATAGGTAAGTAAAACATTGTTACAAATATATAGTTCCTAATCTTAACTTTATTAAAATTGTAATTTGAGTGTTCATGGCGGAAAAGTAATTTATTTATATTTCATTAAGTGTCACACATAATATTAAAAAAATATATATAAAGTATTTATAAAAATATGACATTTCAATTATGGTTATCATAACTACTGAATATGCTACCTACGTTACATATCTAATATTCAAACTAAATAGAAACGAAAAATACTTTAAAATGTTGCCAGATTCCCGGAGTCTATTTAGCAAAAAAATTCTTGCATAATAATATTATAAATCCTAAAGTGCGTCTGTATATATATAACAATAACATACGCCATTTGTTATGTAGACAGAAAAATACAGACAAGACTAGTAGGTACTTTATATTAAAACAAATACTACAAATAATAGAACCATAACTATAAATTCTAATCCTGGTATACCTGCAAGATTTGATTGGTCCAGTGTATAAACATAGTGATTGCTTGCTTTCAATGAGCATATATTTTTTAATTACCTATAATGTATTTTCTATTAAAGACATTTAAAGATCATATTATCTACTCACTACTTGAGTAGATAAATATCAAAATATAAAAAAAATATAAATAAAAAAAGAAAATATAATAATTTTAATACATGAATTAAATACATATTAAATAATAAACGTAATACAATTGGCTTAAAATGATTTATGATAGAGATAAATATATATAATATAAATTAATTGTAGATATTTTTATCTGGTTATCTGTAAATTTGGTATTTACATAAAAAACTATTACAAGGGTAGATAAAAAATGATTATACTAGGTTAGTAGTCGTACTCGTCTTCTTATTTTATGTAATGGGAATGGTAAACAAGCTGACGGCCCATCTGATGGTAAATGCGACCTGTCGCCTATATAATGTCATGACTGCCATCACGTCATCATGTAATGCCCGTGATATCACTCGGGTATAATTCTGAGTATAAGGTGTCATATTCCGTTTCCTTATAATTCCACTGTCATATCTCACTTTTCTTAACAACAGACGAAAGGTGTAGTGCGAAACAGAGGAACAAAAGAACTAGGAAACCGATCCCGTCACTCGTTTCATAACCACCCACTTTCTAATGTTTGCTTAAAAAGCAAGAACTTTTTGAGAAGGACAAGAACTCTGACCACTGACTCTCATAAAGCCATGACTCGCTTATGGAAGTCAAACTATTCCGCTCCTTCGGACTTCATTCAATTAGCCAAATACCTGCCACCAGATTGAAAATCTCTAAATAGACTGGAGTACCCAGGTGTACCGTTGCAGGTGCAACTTAGTTAAATGGGGTGTAACTTCAAAGGAGGCTTGCGACTGCGGAGCACCATCTCAGACTATACTCCACTTACTCTACTGTCCTTTGTGTCCATCGTCCTGCACAAAAGAAAAACCTAAAAATGCCACCAAATGGGGAAAATATATTTAGTTGCCATGGAATCGAAAGAAAAAGATTCTAAATTTGATCCTGACTGTTATCATTGATTTGACAATCGATAAATTTAACAATCACAGAAATTGCTATCAGAAGCGGCAAATAATCAATTTAATCAATGATTAAATAGGATGTGATTCATTACCGACATAGACTTTGTATAAATTCTTCTAAATGGGTACCTAGTCTCATGAAGATATTTCAGCTTCTGAGCAACTTGCTCTGTAAGATGTATTTCTGTTGAAGAGTGAGATAAGGTTCTCTAATTTACTTACCATTCTAGTTCAAAAACAAAAAATATTCTATCGTCTAAGGTCTAAGGTCACGAAACAATCGAGAATGTTAATTCAGGATCCACTGGATTTTGATCAAATTTATATATAAGTATATAAGAAAGACTAGGTATTAAATAAAAAAAAGAATCATCGAATAGGACAGTAATAAACTACAGTCAAATTTAGATATTGCCCCTGTTTTTGAAGTCGATTGTAAACAGATTAGATTTTAACATTATTATAACGAAAGGATATTAAAATATATTTTTTTTCCAGTTAATAAGAACATTACTCATAATTTCCTCTTTTAGATTAATAAAAAAATAAATTGATTACAAAAAATAATCGTACACTTCCTGTCCTTATCGTATAATCGTTTAGTTAATAGTTTTCTTAATGCTTTTTATACAATTTATTTTTTATTTTTTTAGTATAGTCACCGTTTCCATTTCTAAATATACTCTGTTGATATAACATTCTCTGGGATGATAAAAATTAACATGAACTTTTATATAATATTCGTTATTACTAACGACTTCGTCTACTTTTCTTAAATGAAAGATCTAGCCGTCCTAGTGATTAAATCTGTTTTCATATCTGATTAAAAACCGTTCATCCGTGAGTTTTAATAAAAAACGTACAGACAGAGACAAAAACACTTTGATTTTATAATATTGTTATAGATATCAATGATAACAAAATTAGCATACAACTATCAGGTGAATTATATTTAATTTTTATTTTTTTCCGAACCGGTAGAGAACGCTACAAGGTTTTAAGTACTTTGATCGCCAAATGTACTTTGATCCTTTATATCTATTCAATATACATAAATAAAGAAATTAAAATATAAATATTCAATTAATAAGAATACTGTTAATATTTAACAGGTATTATCAGAAATTTCTATATTATAGCTATTATAATAGTTAGCTTATTACTCTTTTGATATAATATCCGCCCCAGCGATACAATCTATTGTCATACCCAACACTACCATCTGTTCAGTCATGAAAAGATAACATACAGATAGACAGATACTCTTTCGCATTTATAACTGGCTAGTGAAAAGACTCAGGTCGCTCCACACCGGCACTCCCAGTCGCCCCTTGTCCCATTTAAATGTAGATCGAAATCACAACTGCTTGATATCTATCGCCCAGGGGCGTCTTCAGACTGAATTCTTATACGTCACACAAGATTTGACCTTCAGCCGTTCCATAAATTCTTTCGCGGGTTCAGAATACCATCAACACTAGCCCTTTTTTTCCAGTGAAGTTTTAAAGGCCAGCTACGGCGAACAGCATTAGAATAGTTCTAATATATATAATTCTAGTATGGATATGTAGGAGTGAAGGTGATTGTTAGTAATTTGGACTAATAACACTATTACTAGCAATGTAACCTGTCCGGTTGACCTCCACGTAGTTTCCCCTGGAAACTGTCATGATAAATTCATGGTGAATTTACCGGGATGGCCTAACTGACCTGACCTCATGCTCCACTAGTGCGCCACCTGCGTAAACTGCCAGCGCAGGCGGTTGCACCTTTCCATGATCATTCATAAAAAGTATAAATATGTTATGCTGACGTATATCGATTTTTGCGTACCACGCTATATATATTATTATTCAGTCGGTCAAGTGGTATAGATTTTATTTATGATTCTCCAATTGTTACACTTGCACTCGCCTTGCTCTATTTGAAATTTATGTTTATTAATCGATATTTTCAATTCGATCGTTGGAACTGGATCGAGTACTCGTAATTTGACGATGATTGAACCTTTTAAAATTCGAGTGCTGTTATATACAGCGTGAAGAGAGACGCAAATAACCATCTGAAACGTGTAACAATTTATATTGTTGTTGTTACATGTTACAGACCTATGGCTGTTCTTACATGTAAATTTTGTTGAAGTAATCGAGAAAGTTGTACATTTTGTATACCACGGTGGTTGCAATCAAGCATTAGATACTTAATCTCTGCTCTAATATAAATTCGAAAGTCTGTCTGTCCGTTTGTTAATTACCTTTCTACGATTTAAACAGCAGAACGGATGATAAAAGTAATGAAAGTTAGCGTATAGATAAATTATATCCCGAGGACGGATATAGGCTGTCCTTTATCTTAAAAAAGTAGAACGCAACATTGACATGATCATATTTGGATAATATATCAGAAATAATCAGAATCCAATGTCACAGTAGCAGGGGCGAGCTGGCTGCCTAATAATTTTTGAGAGTCAGAAATATAATTGAAGTTTTATAATCCTTGTCAGATATGAACTCACGATCTTTTGGGAGTAAGTCGGGGTAGCTATTCACTTGGCCATAATGCTCTCAAGGAATAGTTAATTATCTTTTTTAATGTAATTGGAATCGTCCTCCAGCCACCTGTGAACCAGTATGAACAAGCTTGTCGCCGCGGAAATTTTGCGTCGAAAAATTAGGAGAGCCGACCCCGCATAAAGTGGGACAGAACTATGAGGAAGAAGAAGAATGTAATTGGAATGGTGAATGATGTATATATGAACAGCATTACGGATATCACGTTATCATGTGACACCCGTGATATCAATCATGCGTTGCCATTCCAGAGGACTAAGATGTTATGCCTCTTATCCTGTTATTTCAATAAACCTATAAACAATATTTACAATAACTTACCTACTAGACTATACTAACTAGAGCGTTTACATTTTTTTATATCATTATAGAGTTGTATATTGTCTTGTTTAGCTTAGAATAATATTCTATTACTCTAATATGATGTTGATTGAACCTTTTAAAATTCTAACGCGTGTTATAAACATCTGTGAAGACAGAAACAAATAAGCAAATGTAACAAAGTATAACAATCTATTTTAGGCTACTCTTACAACTGTTATTTTACTTACTTAAATAAATTACATTCATTGTTACTATTTATATTTATTCCGCTATCTAGTTCATATCTTTATATAGTATAAAACGAAGTCACTGGCGCTGTCTATTCACTTATATCATTTAAATTACGCAACCGATTTTAATGCAGTTTACATCAATAGATTGATTGATTCAAGAGGGAGGTTTATATGTATAATACATGCGCGTTCTGGTATAGAACAAGCCGAGAAAATCGAAGAATTGTATTGCACCGTGTGAAGCCGGGAAGGGACGCTATAACTATCTAATTAAAAAACGAATTAGTGTGATATGCTGCACCCACTTATAGTACACGGAGGCAGTACACCTGTAGATGAT